GTGCTCTCTGTCTCTCTTTGTCTCAATATTAGGGAAGAAATAAATGTTATTTACTTACTTTCAATTCACCAGAGAGAGACAGAAATAGAGAAAGTGAGAAAGGAAGCCACCAGGTCTGGGACTTGAACTATGGTTGGCTATGTGGGAGTCCAGTGCTTTTGATCACCATGCCACCTGCTGGTCCCTAAATAAACTTTTTAAAAGTTAATGGAAATGTATACCATTAGAAAAGTATGTGTGGATTTCAAAATGTTTTGCACTAAGATAAACCCATACTTTAATCACATTCTTCCATGAGCTTTCTACAGTACTCTTGTTTGCTAAATGTTTAATAAATATTCATCGAATCGATGAATGAACAAATCAATCAATTGCTAAAGATTAATCCTATTTGGCCAGCTGTGGAGTAGCAGCAGGTAACGCAATGCTCCCTGGTGCTGAGGCCATGCAGGAAGGTCCTGGCTTCATGTGTGGAGGTCTCCCTGTACAATACAAGGGCACCTGATACTGGCTGGTTTAGGCAGAGAGTGGATCACAGCATGAAGACCCTGTCAAGAATGCCTGTCCCTCTTTCTCTGTCCCCCTGTCTCTCTCCCTCTCATGGAAGAAACAAAGAAAAAAGTTAACTTATTAATTACTATAATAAATATTGCAAGCAATAAATAAAATTAAAGAATGAAAAAGATTAAAATAAGTATATACATCAAATACAACCTAAAGAGTTCATTTTTTTAAAAGGTTTTTGCCATAGGTTGCATGCACTTGCCAGAGAAAGACAAAGAGAGAGACAGTGAGAGGGAAAGTGAGAAATCACCCCCAGGGGAGATGGCGATTCCGCAATACCTTCTCTTCCATTCTCTTCCTAGAATTTTGGGCACACATGCACACATGCCTGGTGTAATTTTTGTATTTAAGAGAAATTTTTGCTATAGGGTGTGTGTACTTGCTGGAGACAGAGAAAGTGAGAAATCCAAAGTGAGAGATTACCCGCCACGTGGGACAGCCACATCACAATCCCTTCTCTTCCACTGCACACACACATGTGCACACACACATGCTCAGTGTGAGTTTCAAGTCACCGAGTCCAGGACTAGAACCACAGTTGGCTGTGTGGGAGTACAACACCATAACCGCTACTCTCCCTCTGGCCCTACTCATTCAAGTTTTAAAGGAAAAATCACTGAGGCTCCAAAGATGAACCGTTTGCTCAAAAGGAAGTACTCCAACAATGCTTGAACTTCTTCTAGACTAATCTCATGCTAGCTGACATAGGATCAAATGTGGTGCCTTGTCTACCTTTTAACCATCGGCTTGCTCTTCCCTAAAGTGAGAAAGAATACGGTTGGAGTGAGTGCATAGAGAGAGTGAAGAGCTAAGAGGTGAAGGAGGTGAAGGCCAGATCAGTGAAGGCTCCTTAAGCCATCTCCAAATATTGCAACAGGAGCCACAGAGGAGGGAAATGGAACCCCAAAAAATGACATAATCATTTTGGCAACTATTTGGCAAAATGATTGTCAGAAATATGGAGGATACCTTAAAGTATAGAAAAAAATCAAAGAAGAGTACTTAAAAGACTCTAGCAATAACCCCAATCTTGTTAAATAATCGTATGTCCAAAGACGAGGGAGATGCATCTCCCAGCTTTCCAGTAGGCAAAGCTAGGAGTCAGGGAAGCCACAAACTGAGGCAGGGGGAGAGTCAGGACTAGCTAGTAATGACAAGCGTGGTCACAAACGTCTGCCTTACAGATTTTTGCTATAGGGCACGTGTGAGCCCAGAGAGACAGAAAGTGAGAAATCATCCACCACCACACACACCCCCGGGGGGGTGGGGTGTGCAATCCCTTCTCCATTTTCCTCTTGGGATTTTGGGCATGAAGTTTTAAGCTACTGGGTCCAGGACTTGAATCTTGGTTGACTTCAAGGGGAATCCAGAGAATTAATCACTACACCATCTGCGGGTCCCCTGTTTTTGCTTCTTGATCTTCTTGATCTGTCACTTCCTGGTGTGGAACCTTGGAAGAGAATTCCTTAAATTCTCTGTGCCTCAACTTCATTATTCACAAAATGGAAAAAATCTCTCTCTCTCTCTCTTTTCTTTTTTTCAGTTTGCTACAGATGCATGCAATCACCAGAGACAGAGAAGGGGAAAGTGAGAAATCATCTCTGGTGGGGAGTCGCCACGCTGCAAACCCTTCTCCATTCTCTCGGGATTTGGGGAACACACACACACACACACACACACACACACACACACACGTGCACTCTATTTTTGAAGCTGCCAGGTCTGAACTTAAATCACAGATTTGGCCATGTGGGATCTAGAGCCTTAATCCTCATGACACTGGCTGGCCCCTGGGAACAGTATCTCTTTCAACAGTTGTCCTAAGGATTATTTGAAAAACTGCATGTAAGCCACTGAAAATAGTGGCCGGAATTTAGTAAGCTTATATAAGCATTGCCTGTCATTATCATTACCATGCAGCAGAAAGGAGAACCTGAAGGTCAACTTAGGCTTCAAATACTTGCCTCAGGAAAGATGTCCAGGGAGTAGTTCACTATCTGGGTTTAGCCTAAAAGAGAGGTGGGTACTTAACCTGTGAGTTCTCAGCCAGCAATTGAAGCCCTGGGGGGATGAGAATTATTGAGGAAAGGCCTAGGAGCCCAGAATTCAGGATTGGGGTGGAGCAGAGATAAGGGATTCGGGATTGAGGTCTCTGGAACTGAGGTCTAGGAACTAAGCGAGTCTAGCCCAGTGTCTAGAGTCCACGCACTTGGAGCGATGACTCCATGAAACAAAAGTCCTAAAGCTTAGTTCTAAGACCACCATTGCCGTGAAGGAATGACCAGAGATGACCTGGATGAAGAAGAAAAGGAAGAAAATGCCTAAGGGTTTTCTTACCCAACGAAGATCTAGAGGTAGAAGTGAGGAACCAGGAGGCTATTGCATCGGACCCTTCAATTAACACATTGATTGACATTCCCATCCTGAGAATTTTCTGATTTCCATAATTAACACCACATCCTTCCATCTTCTGGATTGCCAGTTTACAAACTACTTTCAGGGGGTACATGATCAGGCAATTAAACTTAACAAAGTTGACAAATAAATGTCTCTTTTATATCTTAAAAACATATGATCCTGTCATAGAACTACAAGCCTGTTTTTAAATAATACTCAAAACCCAAAATGTATTTCTGAATACACAAAGAGTGGGGAATTTTGAGACAGTCTCTAAGACAGCAATTCGTTTCAAATGTTCTTAAAACATATTCCACACTCCCTTGTTCCTCCACTCTCCGCCCTCTTTCAGCTCTCGTAGAGGAGACTGGAGATCTCGCGAGAGGTCGAATTCTCATGAATTCTCCCAGGAGCCACTGCTCTTCCTCTTCTCCTTAGCGGCCTGAGGTGATCTTTGAAAATGGTTCGCTATTCACTTGACCCAGAGTACCCCACAAAGTCATGCAAGTCAAGAGGTTCCAATCTTCGCGTTCACTTTAAGAACACTCGTGAAACTGCCCAGGCCATCAAGGGTATGCATATTTGAAAAGCGACCAAGTATCTGAAGGATGTCACTTTACAGAAGCAGTGTGTGCCATTCCGTCCTTACAATGGTGGAGTTGGTAGATGTGCCCAGGCTAAACAGTGGGGCTGGACACAAGATAGGTGACCCAAAAAGAGTGCTGAATTTTTGCTGCACATGCTTAAAAATGCAGAGAGTAAAGCTGAACGTAAGGGGTTAGATGTAGATTCTCTGGTCATTGAGCACATTCAGGTGAATAAGGCACCAAAGATGCGCTGTCGTACTTACAGAACTCATGGACGGATTAACCCATACATGAGCTCCCCCTGCCACATTGAGATGATCCTCACTGAAAAGGAGCAAATTGTTCCTAAACCGGAAGAGGAAGTTGCACAGAAGAAAAAGATATCCCAGAAGAAACTGAAGAAACAAAAACTTATGGCAAGGGAATAAAGTCAGCATAAAATAAATGTAGATAAAAGTTAAAAAAAAAAAAGCAAGAAAGAAAAAGAAAAGAAAA